CTGAGCCCCGCGCTCAGCCTCTCCCCAGCCGCAGGTTACTGTTCGACAGAGGAAGGCTCGAACCTGCCCTGTTCCCTGGCAGCTTGGATTTTTCCGGCTCAGGAGGCAGGAGAGGTGGCTTGTGGCACTTTGTGTAGAGGGGTGGAACAGCGGCGGTCGCAGCCTGCGAGGGTTCCCCACCCTGCGGGAGTCTAAGGGATGTGATGGGTTCGTGGGATTCTGTAACGCACAAGGATGTGGAGGCTTTGTTTCCGTTAATTTCTTTGTTACAAGTAACTATTAGTAAGGTAAATGCACTTATGATTAGTAAAGCAAGTGTATGTGTATATAAATTTTATTTTTTTTTTTTTTTTTAGTATTAGTAGCAAGTATATATTTCATCCAAAGTACCATGGTACAGTTCATTAAGCTGCTCCCAGGAGCGAGCTCAATCGATGACGGATGAAGTCCCTCTTTGGAGATGATCCGTTTGACGGAGCCTGGAGTCAGCCAGGAGGGTCTGAAGGGTCGCGCGGGGCGAGCTCTCGTTTTGGGTAGGTAGCAGGTTACTTTTACGTGGATGCGTAGGTGGGCAGAGGACACCAGCTCCTGGAACAGCTGTTGCTGACTTCTGCTTGCTTAGGAGGCCCCTTTGTAGGTCGGGGCAGTTTCTTCGCCCTGCAGGTTACAGCCGTTGCTTTGTTTTGGGCTCATCAAGGATGCCCTGGGCTCCCAGCTGCACTTATCCCACCTGCGCCTGCCAAGGATGCGCTGGGTTCCCAGGCTGGCAGACATTTTCTCCGTCTGTACTTCAGCAGACATCTCTTGTCGGTACTTTTCCCCAATATTACCAGGTCACTTTTACGGCTCCTGCTGCAACGCGGGATCAGGGGGGTTCCCTCGGTCCCTGCAGGAAGAGGCAGCCCTGGGTCTGGCAATGACCCCCTGGGAGCCCCACAAGCTGTGCCCCCTACATGTACCAGTGGGGCTGGGTGTTGGGAACCCCCTTTGCTTGTTCCCTCTTACCAGTACCTGCGTCAAAGCAGGACCCTGGCTCCGCTCGGGTCCTTGGTGCTTGGCCAGGGGATGTCCACCACCCCGAGTGCCATCGTGGCAGCTTCCTGCCCAGGCGCTCGCTGCTCGCCTCCCTGCTCCAGGGTTGTCTGGAAACGTGGCTGGAGGGGAGGGACCTGTGCTGTGAGTGCACCGGTCCCTTCTGGCAGGCAGCTGCTCGGCAGAGCTCTGCTCCCCAGCCGGAGAGACGCTGCTGCGCCCCGGGCTTTCACCTCACTGCTGCCTGGCTGCTGAGCTGTGCCTGCCGAGAATCCCCAGGTGAGGGGTGCCCTAGAATCGTGTTGGGGACATGCCGTCCTTGGGCTGTGCCCCGCAGGGGACAGCCGTGGCTAGCTCAGCCCTGGGAGCCATCCTCGCTGTGCTGGCCTCGCTCATCATCGCTGCCAACACGCTGGTGGCCATCGCTCTCCTTCGCCTCATCCAGAAGACCGGCTCCAAGGGGCTCTATTTTGTCCTTAATCTCGCTGTTGCAGATGCCATTGTTGGCTTCACGGTTATGGGTCTGGTCATGGATGAGTTTTCCCAGCCCTTTTGTCCTCCCCAGATCTTCTGCGTCCTGAGAATGGCTTTCGTGACCTCCTCTTCTGCTGCCTCTATCCTATCCCTCATTCTGGTTGCGTGCGACAGGCACCTAGCAGTCAGGAAGCCTTTCCACTATTTCCAGCTGGTGACAGGCCTGCGGGTCGGGGTGCGCTTGGTGGGGCTCTGGCTGGTTGCTGCCATCATCGGCTTCTTCCCAGTCCTCACCCCGGACTTTCAGAACGTCTCCACCGATGACAAGTGCTCCTTCTTCGGGGTCTTCCATCCCTCCTACATGCTCACCGTCTTCTGCATCGGCTTTTTTCCAGCGCTCTCTCTCTTCATTTATCATGCTGAAGATCGCCTCGGTGCACGTGCAGCACATCCAAGAAGTGGAGCACGCAGGGCTGGTGGGCGGCTGCCCCCCGTCCCGCACCACCAGCGACATGAAGGCCATGCGTACCGTCGCCGTGCTCATCGGGTGCTTCGCGCTGTCCTGGTTGCCGTTCTTCATCGCCAGCATCGTGCAAACCATCTGTCTGGAATGCTTCCCCTACAGAGTCATTGAGAACTACCTCTGGCTGCTGGGACTGTGCAACTCCCTCCTGAACCCCCTGCTCTACTCCTACCGGCAGAAGGACGTGCGGCTGCAGCTCTCCCAGCTGGCCGCCGGAGGGAAAAGGGAGTGGGACCCGCCGCCGCTTGCCTGGCAGAGGCACCAAGTCCCTCCCCACCGTGTCCTGCCTGCGGCTCCAGGACTGACACGGTAAGGATGGGCTGTCACCGCCTTTCCAGCCCATCTCCTGCATCACGACCATGAACTCGGGGCCCGCCAGCTGCGGAGGAGATCACAGACCGGGTGGGGCCAGTCTGGATCCTAATTCCCAGACATCAGCATCGCCAAATGCCAGCCTGTCCACAGCCCCCCAGAGCCACAGCATGGCCCCTTTTGCACCGGCCCCAGGCACCCCAAATTGCAGGTGCAGGGCACACCTTAGATTTTTGCCTGGAGATCCTCAGCAAGGCCAGCCTTGTGTCTCCTGCACTCGCTCCGCAGGCTAAGATCCTTCATCCATCGCTGCCCGGCTTCCCCTGCCCAGACCTGGGGTCCACCTGCCCTCCCCTCTGCCTCAGCACCAGCTCTGGGGGCGCTGAGCCCCGGGGTCCCGGGGCAGGGCTGCTCGCACAGCACTGGCTCTGTTGCCTTTGACTCTTGGCCCAGACAGCGGAGGCTGGGACGTCTGCGCACATCCTAAATCTGTCCTGGACCGCAAGCGCTCCCAGTCGCTGCCCTTCCAGCTGCAGCCTGGGCCATCTCCCAACTCTGCCGGGGACCGGGGACACAGAGAGGGCTCCCGCTGTTCCTCGGCAGCAGCTGTATCTGGATGGGAGCCGGCACGGCGAGGTGCAGGGCAGCAGGGGCTGTGCTGTTGCTGTTTGGCCTGGGCTATAAAGTGAGTTAATGAGTAACTGGCTGAATGCTGAGATGTGGCCAAGGAGCAGGAGGAACGGCCGCCTTGGAGCCAGGGAAAACCCCGTGCGGGAGGGCTGCTTTGTCCCACCAGGGCTGTAGGGGTGGATTTGGGACTGCGAGGGTCCCTATGCACCGACTCATCCCATGGGAGCACTTCTGCCTGCCCTGCCACACTGCAGCGGTGGCCACACTGCTGACTCTGCCAGAGGCTGTGATGTTATTTAATTACTTCTCATAAAATTATGTCCATTTAATCCACATGGCAAGAAAATTTCCCTTAAAAGAGGCTTCTTAGCTAAAAACGTACCCTAATCTGAAAATAAGGGTGCTATGCATAAAATAGCAGTTGTTTCCACCTCTGCCATTTGCCCCACCGGTAGACATGAAGGCTCAAGACCACCTAGACATGAAGGCTCAAGGCCACATCCAATACACATCCAGAACCTGCCTTGGTCTTGAAGCCTTCCCCATCCTAGAGGAAGAGGCAAAATTTAGAAAAAACCCAAACCAACAGGCCCTCTGTGGCATTCACCTCTGCCTGAGAAAGGCCTGAGACCACGTACCACACGGCAGTTGCTGTTCCTGGCTGTACAACACGGAAAGAGCCTGAGAGGAGGCCTCGGTAGAGCAGCCCTGGCTCTGTGGGTGGACCGATGCCTCGTAGGTGGATCCAGTCTGATTCAGTTCTGGGGATCAACACATCATCTGTCTGTACGATGTGTTTGCTGCCCGTTCTCAGTGAAGCCTGAGCTCCACCGGCTGTTGCTTTGCAAAGCCAACCCATCCTCGCTGAGCCTCTGATGATGCCGAAGCCATCCTCTGCCTCCCTCCGACACGCCTCCTGCAGCGAGCGTCGCGGGTGGGTACCCAGCGTGAACGGAGGTGCTTTGCTCGTGGGTCTCTTGCTGCTTCCCGAGCTTGCTGACCACTGCTGCCTCTGCGGCCGTTGTGCTGCCCACGGCCCCGGAGCGGGGCCGGCCGTCGGCAGTGTTTGTGCCCGGGCACAGGACCGGGTCAGACTGCAGATCCGGAACAGCGCGAGCAACGGGAGCAGGAGCCCTGGCTGTGCAGGGCTGTAGCAATCACGGCATCCCCATCCAGAGCGGGGATCACGGCTCGGGCATCCTCCTTGGTGCCCCACAGAGACACGGGGTGGTGGCTTGGGTGGGAGAGGAGACGCTTCTGCCAAGCTCTTGTGTGGGTGGAGGACAGGGTGCCGCTGGAAGCAGAGCACCTCTCTGCAGGGGGGATGCCTTGCTAAGCATCTGCACTCCGGTGCTGACCTGCGTCTCCTCTCTCTCCAAGCCTGGGGCTGGAGGGGGTGCTCGAAGGCTCCGTTCCTAGAAGACACCTCCAGATCCCGCTGGGATAGCACGGACCGGTAGCCGTTCCTTGTGAGACCGTGCCTGCTTTCATCTCTTCTCCCAGAGAACATCTGTGCCCCGCCTGCACCACTTCTGCTCCAGCCGTGCAGTGACTGCGGGTACCGAGCACCGTGCACCGCCCGGGCGCTCCGGGGAGGCTGCAGGAGCGCGGCTGGACAAGGGTGGGCACATCTGAGGCCGTGGGGTGAGGAGGGATGGGTTAATCCTGCCCCAGGGGTAAAAAAGAAAGAGGAAGAGTGCTTCCCCTGCTGGGGGTCCTTCAGCTGAATAAACTGCATTTCTCTCTGCCACCCTGTTCTCTATCCCTGGTAACCCAGGGGAGGTCGGGGCTGCAGCCAGGGCGCTG